ATCGGTGCCCACCCCGCGCCGGACAAGCTCCCCGGGCCGGCCGCCCCCTTCGCACCCTGCAAGCCCCCCGAGGCCGCGGGCAAGGCGGAGGGCAGGGCCGCGGGCGGCGCGGCCGAGCTGCTGAGGCAGCCGCAGAAGTGGCTGGTGGAACAGGCGGGCAGGGCGGGCTGCGAGCCCAAGGCCGGCAACAACATCGAGATCGTCAGCACCTCGCAGACAGCCAAAGTCATCGTCTCCGTCAAGGATGCCGTGCCCACCATCTTCTGCGGCAAGATCAAGGGCCTGTCGGGGGTCTCCACCAAAAACTTTTCCTTCAAAAGGGACCTGCCCCAGGACTCGGTGCTGCAGTGCTACGATGTGAAGAGCCCGCCCGAGCCCCGGGACAGCGCCGAGGCCCTCAGGAAACCCGTCAAAAACAGGAGCGTAAAGCTAAAGAAAATGAACTCGCCGGAGATACATATTCTTCCAATCAAGAAGCAACGGCTGGCTGCCTTTTTTCCAAGAAAGTAAATTATGGGTTTTTAGAATTTTAAGATTATTATGAGAAGAAGAAGAAAAAAATAATAAAAAAGATGCACTCGGTTTTAAACTCATTTAAAACTTTAAACTATCTTTGTAAGTTATTTTTGGGGGAAGAGGGAGAGGATTGGATGTAGAGTCCCTATAAGCTGGGTTGGTTTGGTTTTTTCTTTTGTTTTCGTTTTTTTCTTTTTTTTTGTTACCCAATTTTGACTTTTCATGGGAAACTGAATAAAAAGCAACCTATTTTTCAAGCAGATTGCACATTTTGCAGCTTTAATGGAGTAATGGATGAGTCAGAGGGGTAAGAGCTATTTTCACTGCCATAAAGTGCTTTGATGATGTAACTCTTCATAACAGTCGGAATGGAAATTTCAAAATAAATGTTTGTACGTGCTAATTGGTTGAAGCATTCTTTTCTCATTTCCGAATCGCTTTCAGTCTACACAGAGGGTTGTGCAAAAAGTCTGTAAGCTGTAAAGTGCCTCAACTGACTTGTGATGAGCCTAAAATGTTAAAAAAAAAAAAAATAGGCTAAGAAAAATTATTTTGTCCCACAAGCAGTGTCAAAGAGCACGTCACAACAGCTGCTAATGATGCACCCAGATGAGCTACCAGAGGAGTGAGTGCTACAAGCTAGTGCACCCCTAAGACAGGGTCACTGTGAGAGACCCATAGCAAACCATCTTAAGTAATGCTATCAGTCATTTAAAATAGAAAAGCCTAAAAGTCAGGGGAATTCGGTTGCCAGGGGGCAGGAGGGGAAAAAAGAATCACATAATTTTTCCCAGCTGACTACAGCTATATGGAAAAGTTGTTTATTGTTAGTTTTCTACGTTTCTTTGATGGCTGAAATCAATGCATGTAAAAGAGCAGAGCTGTGTAACTGTATCACTCAGTAGTATACAAAGCCACCCACGTCAGTGGAGAAATGTGAATGTACAATTAAATAAAAGTTCTGCTAGGTTACAGCTTTGCACTTGTCTGTGGAAATGAGCTGGAGGTGAATTACTGTCTGTTGGCTTCGAAGTTCACACAGCTCACTGGTAAAAACATCCTGACAGGACAAATGTGAGAGCAGGAGGACAATTTTTGGTGGGCGCTGCCTTTTTTGTGACTAAACCTGTAGAAATCTTTTGTAACCATTTCAAATTATGTGTTCCTGGCAGCATACCAGGACTGCCTAAGTAAAAAAAGCCATTGTAAAGCCATCCGCTGGATGCTGTCACAAGCTAACTGTGCCTGCCTTTGCATAGCTGCAGCCAACCTACTTCTAAGACTCCTCTTGGACAGCTTTGGGAAGGTTTTTGCAGTTGTTCATACAATGAGAAGTTGCTCAAAGGAGTAGCTTCAGTGTCTCAAGTCTACTCACACCCATAGGCACCAGTGTCGTGCCAAAATCTGCTGTAAGTTTTGATAGCAGCAGACACCAGTTCAAGAATTGGAAAATGAATCTGCACTATGAGGTTAGGAAGGACATGATGTTTCTCTTTTCCTTGGCTGAAGGATCGCTGCCTTCTTGCTTTAATACAAAAATGGTAGACTTTCACATAGGCATAGCATTTTAAAGCCTTTTATTTTTCCCTGAGGTGGCAGAACTGACAATGTTCAGAAGAGCATAAAGTGTTGATGGATTCATTAATGTTTAGTCATCTGACTGTATTTTTAATTTTTTTTTTTCTTAATTGAACATACTCAGCTACTTTGTTTTTCTCCTTTCAAGAAACTGCTAATGAAAAATGTCATCTGGTTATTGCAGTGCAAAGGCTGAGGATTTCAACGTCCCTTGGGATGGCCATCCCAGTTGTCACTGTCCCCTTTTAATTCAGCCTTCCCATTCTAGAGTGTCAGAAAAACTTCTGAAAATGTCAATTTTCCTCAGGGCTATACCAGAGCAAAATAAGGCAGTCACCAAAATGATGCTGTAATTTTTATTTTGCAGTTGACAGAAGCAAGTTGAAAATAAGTTTTAATTTTATTTTTTTTTTTAAGAAGCGTTTCACACTGGTGGTGGCATCTGCTGCACGAATTGCCCCAATCCTTGCTGTCCTTGCATGAGTCATTCCCCACGGCATCCTCAGCAGGCAGAGAGGGCCTTCATCCAGTGCTGCCCCTCCTGCTGGCCGCAGGATGGCTGGGACAGGCAGAGCCTGTTGGTGGCACTGGCTGCAGGTGCTCAGCTTTTCCCTCCTCTCCTTCAGAGGCCTTTGCTGGGAGCATCAATGCTGAGGGTACCTCCCAGCCCACTCTGCACACAGAGAGGTCTGATTTAATTGAATTTAGACCACAGGCTCCAGAAACCCTGACAACAAATTAGGCTAAATCAGCTTTATGACATTATAAACCCATACAAGCACTGTCAAACACCCAGTGCCTGGGGACAAATTGAGTTTAAAGCCAACTGGTATGGGTTGTAACAGTAGACCAGACCTGCAGCCATGTGGCTGCATCTTGCCCCAGTCCCTTGGAGGAGTAACTGCAACTTCTTCTTTCTGAAGCGGGGCTGAGGAAAACCAGAGCAGGCTCCAATTATCCTAACATCCCTCTCTGCCACTCCAGGACAGCCTCCTCAGCTTTACAGGCCCAGGATGGGCAGTCTCCCTGGAACTGCTACTTGCCACCAACATCCCCAGAGACTGTGACACAGGCTGGAGCCACTCCCATGGAAACGGATAAGCAGAGCAGACTGGGCTCACCCACCCTGCTGCCTGGCTTTTCCATTGCTTAAACTGCAGGGACAGGGGGAATATTCTCAAAAGCATCGTCCCAGGAAGGCTTAGGGCAGCTCACACTCCCTTATCCTGCTGCCATTTCATGCAACCCCAGGCTTCAAAGCTGTGCCATGGGAAGAGGAGCCACACAATGGCACCTCTCCTGCAGCTGAACTCTGTTGGGAAAATCATGCTAAGTAGGGACCATTTGCCTCCCACCACCCTTGTGTGTGAAGCACAAGTCCTACATCCCATCAGCACGGGGGAGAAGCAGCCGTAGAACAAAGTACTTAATTATACCAAGACTGAGCACTTTAACCTCCTCCTCCTCCTTGCCTCTAGCAGCAATTACAGTTTTTGTATATTGGGCCATTAATTTTCTACAGGGCTACATTTTAACTGCTTTGAAACTTCTGTATGAGGAGAAGGACATGGAACTGCATCATGATATATGGAGCTTCCATTTCTGGTGGCTGTTAATGGAGACATTAATACCTCTCGTGAAGTTGAAGGGTAAGTCATTAAGCTGTAATGGTAGGAGGAAGACATTTTACAATGATGAGTATATGCAAGAGGGAAAGAGGAGAGGGAGAGAGGAGCTGTGCCTGGAGGGGCACCCCTTGTTGGCTCCAGTCTCCATGTGACTTGGACTTTGGGTGTGGGGTCTTGTTAGGGAGTGAGTGAGAGGGCAGAAGTTTGCGGGATCATATTACCTTTCCCTCTGCTCTCTTCCCTCTGTCAGGCAGGGGCTTTGCAGGAATCCAGAAACTAAATCCAACTGAAGGCAGGCAGAAGGGCTGCACATCTCAGATGAAGGCCATGGGACAGGGCAGCCCTGGGGACAGGAGTGCTCAGAGGTACCAGCTTTCCTACACAGGACAGCCTTTCCCCTGTGGTGGCCAAAGCACAGCTCCAGGACCAGGGGCACACACTTAAGGCTTTCACATGTGAAACACACTTAAGGCTTTCACATGTGAAACTAGCTGTTAGTAAAATTAATTAATCCAAAAGAATAATGAGCAGCTTCTCAGACAGGGTACTTATCTGGACTGGGCATTTTCTAGGTTGGGAGAACACCAAGCAGTCAGGTAAAGCACAGACAACTCTAAGTGCAAGGAAAAGGTGGAGAATAGGGAAAGATAAGCAGGCAATGGAAAAAAGGTGGAGAATAGGGAAAGATAAGCAGGCAATGGAAGCTGAGACAAGATCCAAGCATTGCACCTTTATTTAAGTTAGCAAGCAGCCAGCCAGAGAATGAAAGGGAGAAGCAAAATGATGACCTTTGGCCATGAGCTGCTGACAGAGAAAAGAAAGGTATCACCTTCAAAGACACCTCGGGCCACTCAGTGAGAGTGAGGAGAAAGGCAGGCACTGAGCCCACAGAGGGCAATGCTTTTTTGGGCTGAAAACAGGCAAAAAGTGAGGGCTGGGGGAGACCATACATCAAACCACACATGCAGAGCACACAAGGCAGTGCAACCTCCTGCTCCTGCCCTGGCAGCAGGGGACAGGGGAAAAGGGGTAGCAAAACCATCCCAGCAGAAATGCAAAGGGAAGCAGAAGAGCAAAGGTAGTTGTTTTTGCATGGGAACCATGCCTGAGGTAACATGTGTGATCTATACTCTCATACCACCCGTGCTCCTATCTGCTATAAAATTGATGTGCCATGATGTCTCATGATCAGTGCTCACTTTTTTAACCGCTTCTATCCATTTTCTGTTCTGGCCTCCCAGAGCACTGTGATGATAACACCACTTTGCACATCCCTGCAGAGGTTTGACCCACAGGGGCTCAAGGATCAGCTTCACACCCTTGCACATGAAAGGGTTCAGGGGAAACCATTTGGCACAGAAGTGGCCACTGAGCATGGGAGTGAATCAGACAAGTCTGTGCCCCTTCACTTGCACAGAGGCAACTTAGGACTGTGATCCAACAACAGTAAGTGACTTGTTAACAGTTCTCATGAAGAATATTAGACAATGAAAACAACATAAAACAACATTGCATAATATCCTGGTGCCAGATGTTTTAGTTTCTTTTTGTGCTCAAGTTTATAAAAACATGTTGAAGGGCTCAGTCAAGGACCTTGTTTTCCTCTGGGGGTCTGTTCCTGCCTTCCCAAAGGCAGACAGCCTGAGACAGTGACATTAATAATGTTAATTTGTGCAATTTTCTTTTTTCCCAATGCTTCCCTCCTCCTCCTATTTAAAGCTGCATTTCTCTTAGACTATACTACATACCCTTAATGCTAAAGTTTTCATTTCAGAGTACTCTGGGGCAGTCCTACATACACAAGCAAATCCCCTCATTTTAGTGTGGAAAACATATTTTCCACAGTTGTTAAAATCATGGTATTGCAATACTGTTAGGAAAATCTGTTCTGTTGTTGAACCATCTGAAATATTTCTTCATGTTTGAGTAGAAATATTACTAATCACTAAAATATTTAGTACAGCTTTGTGCCCATATACCCCAAGCTCTCTTAGAATAATACCGTAATGTCCCAGTACTGAAATTATTAGGATTCTTCCAAACTAAGATATGAAAATTAAAAGAGCAAACAGCAGGATACAATCTAATCAAATATCTGGAAGGAAGGACTATTTCTACTTTTTTCCAAGTGGAACATCATTTTTTTTACTGTTTGGGAATGTGTTTCCAGTGAAATGCTATTAGGAGACACCCTGCATCCCTGCGTCACCCTGTGTGTCCCACCCCCCTTGTTCCTGGGATTACTAATGCTCCATAGGCCACAGCTGTTCCAAAACGGTCACATTTTTTGCATTGTTTCAGTATCATCCTTCCCACCACATCCTCATCAACAGAGTTCCCATCTTTCTTTGCTTAGGAGCAAAGATAGGAAATGATTTGTCCTAGACTGGCATCTCACACTGCCCAAGGGCAGGCCACTGGACACAAAACAAGGAGGTCCTTCTTTGTGGGGCTTATTTACCCAAAGAAAACCCCTAGAAGTACCACCAATAAGCAAAGGGAAGCTATTTTGAGCTTTCTGATACACAAGTAATTTCTTGCTTATTGAGGGAAAAAACCCCAAACCCAACCTACCTGCATTCAAAGTTATAAAGGCAACAAGTAGATTTTTTTTTCTCTCTTTTTTTTTTAACAAATCTTACAAAGTAAGTACTTTGAAAGCTTGGTGCACAGAGCACAATTCAGGGTAAGAGAGCATGTACCTACCCTTCAGAGACCCTCCACAGCTCAGCCACGATGGCACAAAGCCCCCACACTCAATCTTAAAGCCCAGTGGTGCATATGCCACACTCACCTAGAACCATCTGCATTTGTGTACACGGGGGTCAGAGTAGGGTTAAAAAACCCCAACAGAATATTAAGTGCTTGCTGTGTGCTTTTTGCCACAGCATTCTGTGCAACAACAAAGATCTAAAAAAAGCACAAATATTCTCTATGGATAGAAGTTTGGCTAGATATTCTGAACAACTGGACTTTAAAGCCAGACCTCTTGTGCAGTAGAACATGGGACCTGACCAACATTGCTTGGTTATTGTAATGTGTACCTGAACATTTGCTTCTCAATGCCAACTAGGTGTTCCAACAAAGGACTTGAGGAAAAGGGTTGTTCCAGCTTACTTGCAACAAAGAGCATTTTAGGCAGGGAATTAGTTCATGTGCTAAAGTTGAAATGGGTACTGAGACTCCTATAGTCTCAATAGATAGTGATAGTGATAGAAACTGACTAATAAAACCAATCGAGTCAAGAAGGCTCTGTAAAGCAGATGTTGGTATCTAGTCAGATCACTCATACCCTCAACTCCCACAGACTAAACTGAGAAAGGGTCTGGACAACTATGATACCGAGAAATAAAGTTCCATTAAGTCAAACCCAAGCCTGTATTCCCAAGCTTTGTCTCCTCGACTGGTCTGGCTTTAAAAAGAAATCATACCAAGAGTGAATTATTAGCAGCAGCTAAGAAACAATTTAAGGACAGAGAATGCGTGTCCCAAAAGTTGGGTTGGGAATTACAAGGATTCATCCCTTGTTTTCAGATAAAATCATGTCAAGAGAAAAGACTTTACAGCCCTGACATGGTTCAAAATGTTTATTCCTAACTTTCCCCTTAAAAGTCCAAGCTTAACATGAATAGTCAAAGACACAAGTCATCTGTGAATCTGAAACAGTTTATCTTGATATATCCACCTGGTTTTCTCCTTCCTAATTTTCCATTACTTCATTCTTCACGTATTTTCCTTGCTATGTTTATTGCAAGCAAACCCTATCACTCATCCCAGCCTTGAATTTCTGTTTTCTTTCAAAACATTTACACTTTCCCCAACCTGTTCATTTCCTGCAGCTGAACACCACCCAGGCAATTACAATTAATATATTACAGTGAATGCAAAGATGTGTGAAAGTAATATGCTCCCTTTTGCTGAGCTGGCCTCTTGAAAACAAATGAAAGCTGATAGTAGTCAGATAAAAAAAACCAACAAAAAACAACACAAAAAAAGAATATATACAAAATAAAAAACCCTACCACAAACCAAAAAAAAAACAACCCCTAACTAAAACCAACTAACAAAACCTGCCCCCTGTCCCATTACCCATTGAACCTAATAAGCAATTATGTTCTAATATAATAAAATTACCTATCTACTACCTCACCCCTAAAGTAAAAGCATAAACCAAGGGTATACTGAAACAGAGCATTTATTTATTAATTTCTCCCTCCCCACTATTTTGCTCATGTAAGCACAGGGACTTAAAAAGAAAAGCACTTTATAGATGACACCTTGAGTAACACTGTGTAGGTGAGAGGCATCTCTTCATAACAGAGCACCATGTACATGCCCAGGCAAGGGCTGAAATCAGTAGCAATAGCTGGTATATCACAGATAAAGGAAGAAAAAGCTCCAGAGTCCTTCCCTTACTTTTTTTAACATGCAGAAGTTAGAAGCACATGGCAAGATCCTTCCCTCAAAAGTTTCTTCAATAAGAAGAAACCTGTTCTGCTGCACTTAGTTTGGAGAGATGGAAGTTGGGGAAGAGTTCAGACCTGTTTGAAAAACTCACTCTTGGAAATCTAGACAGCATTAGCCCAGTTGGTTGAGGAAACAGAGTGCCTCCATAACTCCTGAAAAAAACTAAATATGAGAAAGGGAAAAAATTAGTAAAATCATGACCTCTTGCATTTGAACACCAGACTTGCTAAGGTGTACCACTATTCATTACATTTTTTCCCACTGCCTTGCTGACTGCCTCAGCATCTGCCTGTAAGGGTAGATGTGTCTTTGTCTTTCCAGTTCTGGAGCTCAGAGCTGGGACAGCCAACACACAGTAATGGCAATTGTCATGGTGGTTTTGTGGCATATTCGTTTTCTTCCAGCTGTCACAACTCGAAAGGAACCGTTGGCAGAGAGGGTTTCTGCCAGCTTAAAGCTCTACATCTGTTCACACTTGTCTGTTCAGACAACATGGGATGCAGTCTCCCCTTCCCCTTGTGCTGGCATCTGTATGCTTTTGCTGTTCGTCCCGAAAGGCCTTTGATTTTGGATGCTGAAAAAATCTCTGTGGATGAAAATGCCTTCAATGTATTTTAAAAAGAAGTAGAGGCGTACAGCCTTTGCTATCAGTGCTAGACAGTTCCCCTGCAGATAATGAAGGCTGAAATAAAACTAGCAGTGGTCCATAAAGCTATGAGGAGAAGCAGCTTACGCAGGACTCCTCAGTGTGTACAGCAGGACTGGGAGCTAATGGAAGCTAATTCTGATTCAAATGGGACAAATTACAGCTAATCAAAATTATCTGCTAGGACAGGGATGGATGATTATGTAAGCAAGGAATTTAAAAGCCCACTGGATCACTGTAATGGCATATTTTAAATAGACATAGGACTCCCATCATCTACCACAGCCCCAATAATGAGGATTTATTTAGAACAAACCATCAGAGAACAAAGTAGCAAAGTCTTTCACTATTAAATAACCCCCCCAACCCTATCTCTGCAGTTTTCACACAAAAAAAAATATAAAATGTTATATATAGTTATATGCTGTTACAGACTCACAACACAGTGAGTTTACAACAGACTGTTCAGATTTAATAAGTCTCAAAATGGTTCTGCATGACCTTTGAAACAACAGGAACACTGACAGTGGGGGAACACTATCCCAAGATTATGGGCTAGTTAGTAAGCTTTACAGAATGGAAGATTATAATCAAGGCTTGAAAAAGAATCAGCAATCATTTCACCACTAAAATGGACATGAAATCAGCTTTTGTATCACTCTTAGGCAGTTCCAAATGAGCACTTTTTACTCACTCCCATGATTTTACATGTAATAGAGGGGAGGAATATATGACCTTTGAAATCGATCTCAAGGAGGTCTCTCTTCTTTCTTTTCTTTCTTTTTTCCTCTTCAAGCCAAGCCAGTGTAACTCTACACAGCCTCAACTTGGCAGAAAGAGCGACAAAAAGATGAAGATGCTCATTACTTAGAAGAGGTTCACACCTCTTCATTCATTTTACTCTATTATGTAACTAGCTGACCAACCAAAGAAAAGAATACTGCTGTCATCCCCTTTTAAAATGTGTTTCTCTCCAGGATCCTGCATTAAAATAGACAACATTCTACAGCTGACAAAAGAAGACTGGGGAAAATTGGACCCACTTCTGAATGAGACAGGGGACCTCACTACATAGAATATGGAAAAGGCTGAAGTACTGACTACCAGCTTTGCTCCAGTATACCCATATTTCAATTCTCTCAATTTCAACTTCAATTAAAACAAAGACATGAACAAAGAAACTTTTATCTGACCAGGTTTTAAACTCAAGATTTTAGTCATCCCCACACAGGGCTTTATTTTTCCCCTACAGAAATACTTGAGATACTCAAATTTGGAATTTTTTATCATGTTCAGGGCTTACATCATCACATGCAAAGATTCACACAAAACTATCAGAGCTATACAGAAGGTTAACATGGCTTTTTGCAAATTATATCCCTAACTGCAGAGGAAGAAGATATTCTACAAATACAATGAGTAATCAGATAAACATCTTTGTGCCCATGTCTACCACCTGAAATAAAAAATGGTGTGTCTTTATCCAAAGCAACAAGAAAGGGGAAGACGCTCCATCCTTCAAAGCAACATTTGTAACATGATACTGCTGTCTTTCACTGTCATTCCTACGCATGTGTGAAAAAGTCCCTACAATACGTATACTGCCACAGTCTACTCTCCAGCCTTCTTCAATTCCACTATTGCATTGCTGTTCTGCACAAATAATTTTTAGAGCTGATAATCCTCCCAGGCAGCAGTATTTTAATTTCCAATAGTCCCATGATGCACTGAGGAGTTACGGCACTGCCTTCCAAGATGACCAAAAGTTACAGAACCAGATAAACAGATGAATTCATGTTGATAAAAATGCAACTTGGAGAAACAAAGAGACTAAATCATATTTTCTTGTATATAAAATAAATACCAAAAAGATACTAAGTTTGTTCTGAGAGAGACCAGATGCAAAATGCTTCTGGACTACTGGTACTGCCAACTTCCAGTTATCATCATCTGCCAGTGACGGCTGTGAGGTTGCCATTAGCCCAATCCAAGTTCCTTCTCAGACACTGGCTGATTGCTGATAACAGTCACTGAAACAAGAGACTTCTGTATCACAGAAATAAAAAAGCTTGAAGTGTACAAAGTTCAAACTTACTGCCATTAACTGCTTTGATTTTAAATACTTTGTGTCTTTATCTGAACACAGCATAAACAGTTTTTATCACGTTCTTCCCCTCAGTGGTTATATGAGAATTCTGTAAGCTGTAAGTTGCAAAATGAGATATACAAAACTAAATAGCTGAATAACTTGATAAGTCCTTATTTTGAAAGCAGAGAACAACCTAAGTTCAAACATGAATTGTTTAGATGAACAAAATTGGAATGACCTTACCCTTTTCATTAAAACCTCCTTATATCAGATGTTTCCATGAACTGTCAAATGCCAGATCAGACAGCCACCCTTGCCGATGCAGAGCACACTCACACATCCACATGGCATCAAACAGAACAGACAGTTACAACAATGAACAAACTATTTTATTTTTCTTGCTAGATAAGAACATCCCACTGAAAATAAAGAATAAAAAATATATTCTGCTGTAAGACTCTGAATGCTTGAATCTCACGCTACAGCACATGGAGAAATTCTGGTACAGCAACATCACAGTTATCTTTGTGCACACGGGTGCACAGAAACCCTTGAACAAATATTTATACCCATTAATAGTGCCATGTACAAAAATGTCACTCCATAAGACCAAACAGAAAATTTAAACATCTTTGTTTTTTTTATATGCCAGGGCAATGTAAAAAAGGAAAACTGTTTACAGTCAATTACTTCCACCTAAATTGTATGAGATCTTTTTATGCTGAAGAGCCCAAAATCAGCATAGAAGAAGTAGTATACAATTATATATATGTATAAACAAGACACTGAACACATGGTGCATGATGTTTTCCTTAATATGTAATTTTTGGTGTAACTATATGAAGTTAAGTCATTACTTTTTTAACACCAAGAGAAAATATTGTTTCTTCAATCAATGCTCTGACCTTTTCTTACTATAAAGAGCATGCCTGTATTATTCATCTAAGTATACATGCACCACAAAAGATATGCAAAACAAATCGATACAGATAAACTTTAGTGTCAAATGTCTAATGATGTAATAACAAAAACAATTCTCAGGGCCCAAATGACTTTCTGAATTGAAATTGCATTGCAGTCACTTAAAATAACAAAATGCTTGGACTTGTAGGTCACTACAAGAAAAATTCACTGTTTTCTAGCAGTACCTCTGCTGAAATCTGGTAAGTATCAATCTATGGGTAAAGAAAGTAACTTTCAAAAAAGGAATTTGTAAAAAATACATTTATACTATACGCTTTCATATAAAAAGGCATTAAGAAATATAATAAATCCTACCATTTTAGGACTACACCTTCCCTAACAAACAGTTTTTATCACTTGACTATTACATATAGTACATTCAGTATCCTAAGCAGAAAGTATATTTTTTTTGTCCCTGATGTATTTTACAACTGGCAGTGACAACAAAATGTTTTATTATCACCACTCATTCTTGCAGCTTATACAAACAGCACCAATTTTACCCAAAAAAAGGTTTATCAGTTACATAGTAGCACTTCCTCACAGGAAATATAAACCCCAAACATTGGAACCAAATGTGTCTTTCCAAATATATATCAGAATATATGTCTCAGAGTTAAGGGATGAATAACCAGGATTATTGCATAGTACAGGGATCTTGCCTGTATGAATAAAGACACCTTTTGATTGTTTGTCACCTTCTGACTCAAGAACAAATTAAACAGGTGCTAATGAAAGTAATATACAAGTAAATGTACTGGTAAAAAAAAAACAACAAGAAATTGTACAGTTCTCTCTGGCACAGTGCAAAGTACACATTAAAAAACTGAAAATATATGTACAGTGTGTATGTATATTTTTATATAGTGTATATTTCCCTGACACATACACATGTACATATAAAATGCATGAACACACACATCCATGCCAAACTTAGCAAAAAGATGGAATGTTTAATATGTGGATGCATTGTTCCAGTGAAATCCGTCTGTCCCAGAAATGGCTGTTTATACAGCCAATATGACCTTCCATGAAACAGAAATATTTACTGCCTGCCTAAACTGACAATATATGATACATTTGTCCTCATAACTTCCCAAAGGACTGATAATCACACTTTATAAAAGCTTATATTTGTATTAAGCCCTCTCTTCCATAACCCTTCCTCTCTTCTGAAAGACCAGAATATTCACTACAGAGATGAGATCTTATATTTTAAGATTTTCTTGCAATATAAAAGTTTACAGCCACTCCTGTAAAAATTATTAACACCTGATGCTGGTTTAATTTATTATTTCCCTTTGGGATTCAGCTGTTTTGGTTCTGGATATGAACACACTGGCTGAAGCCTGTAACACAGAACACACTTTTCAGGATTTGGAGAGCATTGTTACCAGACCTGCCCACACCCAGTATGATCAATTGTCCTTCCCTGCCAATTTTCTGTGAAACAGTTTGCAAAAATACTAGAATGTAATACAAATCCCTCCCTGCCTTTATCCTAAATGTGTCTTTTACATTTCGAGAGCACTTTCAAAAAATAAAAGTTTATATCAGCAAAAGAGTTTCAAATCAAGGCCATGGCTGTGAACCTGAGAGCTTGGTGTGATCTGAGCACACGTGTTTGTGGTATCCCCACTGGCTAAAACTTTCCTTGTTTAAGCCGTTCAATGTGGTAGCACAGCTTCAGGGCAGGCCCCAGCTTCAGTCCCATGTATTTCATTATCATATCACTCCTCAGTAATAGCAGTGCCTTCCCATCAATTTCCTGCAGAAGGAAAAGAATAAACACAACAGACAACTACTTTAACAAGCTGCATGGTAAAACCGGAAAGTACATTATAGTTGTTTATACTGAAGTTAAAATATATCTACTATATATAACTGTATATATCTACTGTATATAACTGGAATTTTGAATTTACAGATGACCACTAAAATTTAATTTGTTTTAGTATTTTTTTAATGTGTGATTAAGTATTTGAGATGTTAAAGAAAGAAAATGATAGTAAATAAAAGAAACTGACTAAATAGCCCTCAGAATTAGGATTTCCAACCAGGAAAAAATGTGAATGGGTCAAGGGAAAAAATAAAAAGAAGCTGCAAAGGAAGGTCTATGCAGTTAGAGATTAAATGATCCAAGCACTGAGGCCTTGCACTGAACCTTGAAAACAGCCGTGGGAGGATTTTGGCATGCGTGTGCAAACAGTCACACAGAGGAAGGGGCTAGAGACCATCTAAATATGGGAAATTAGACAGATCTATTTCCATGTTGAACCAAAGAGATTGTCAGGATCAAGACCAAGGACAACTTAGTCAGATTTCAACTGTCTGACTGAGCAGCTGCTGAAATATGACAGTCCTAAACTCGTAGTATCATTACATACCATAGACAGGCAATTAGTTCCATAAAGCACCATAAAGAGAAACACTCTGTCTTACTTTTTTAAACATAAACCTGACAAAACAAGTGACATTTACTGTTGTTATACACCTAAGAATAAAATATAAGACAGGAATCTCCATCAGAAGTTATTTTGATTTTTCTTCCAATACAGCTTACTCAAGAGATTAAACTGTTAGGAGGAGCTGGAGCAGAACATGGATGAAATACAACTAAAGAGAAAGCCAATCTCTTTTTGAAGGGCCATATATGCAATAAAATAAGAAAGCAGCTCTTTACTGTGCAACCTACCATAGAAAGGCACAGTAAGAAGGAGTATGGGAGACCAAACCGACCAAACTGATACAGTTTCTGTCTCTAAAGATAGCATCTAGTCAGACCTATGAAACCCTACACATTGTTTTCCCAAACAGATTAATAAAATATTTCAGTTGATTCTCTGAATTTTAGTATCAATGACCAAGTGTCTAGCTAATGATGAATAACACAATCTCTGCTCTAGGAGATTAAGTCTCCAAAACAGGACCAAATACCCTGCAATGCACAGCAAATGCCATCTTCTCTAGAGGCACCAGGGATCACAGGGGTACCAAGAATGTTGGCCATTAGAACTTGGGTGCTTCCAGGTTGGCATTATTCCATATACACTGAGGTGGCTATTTATCTTAGTCTAGCAAGAGTGAGACTCAGAAAAAATATACTGCAGGAGGGGTTTCAGGTGGAAAAGGAATTTTCAGCCTCCCTCCAGTATATGAGAACAGTTTATTCCACCTCCAACTGCAAACAGACTGATAGACATGACAGTTGTATTTTAGGAGATTAACATGACGCTATCTATTAGAAAAGAATGGATATGCATCATACATGTCTCCTGAAGAGTTCTGCATGTGGAGCCAGTGCCCGTGGATCAGCTTCTTTCACAAAACGTACTACTTCCTCTATTGACCAAGTGGAAGGATCCTTATTCAATATTCTTGAAGGTTCCCTTTTTAGTGAATTCAAATCTGGTCCAGTTGTGGAACTTGCAGCTTTTAATACAAAAATATTTTAAAAGGAAGAAGTATCACTAGTTTGTTCAGGGATAACACATTTCACATAAGACACTTTAATATTAACTTATGATATTTATTATGCATTGTTTGCAATATATTAAAATGAAAAGATGCTCTTTTTTCTTCTAATAATACTGAACTGTTCATTTTGTCTTTAAATGACTTCTATAACTGCAAATATTCAGAGCAGCACAAACATTAGCACTGTGACATACCTAGAGGGATTAGTTTTACTTGTACTTGGCTCCTGGGTCCCAAGATTCTATTAACTGAGAATGAGACAAGTGAAGCTGTGCAGACAGAGGGAGAGACAGTAGGAAACCCTATCCCTGTATTTCAGAAACATGCCAATATTTGATAAGATGCTCAGGAAGTGAGCTGCATATAGCTATGCCTGTCTGCTCTGGCTTGCTGCAGTGTCCATCACAGCAGCAAAAAGAAGCTGCAGCAGGAAAGACCCTCCTTGGCTTGCACTACACTACTAGTACTAACAGGCTTAAGTTCTGTATTTGCTGTTACATTAGCAAGCCTGACACACTTGGCAACAGAACACTTCACTCCATATGCAAGCTTTCCAATGGCAAAGAACTTCTTTATTCATAACTCTGTGTGTTAATAGAAGCAGTTACATATTCTGGAAGATTTTGTATAACAGCATACCTTCAATCCTCCTCTGTATCCGATTCCTACTGACTTCATAGTAACCACTGCTCCCAGCAGAGCACAGGGGCAGCCTGCGCAGGACTGGGGCTGAATTTGAGGTAGCAGTTGCTGGCTGATGGGAATTTCTGTAATATGCAGCATTTCCTGAAGTGCGGTACTCTGTGGAATTTCGACAGGTTGGGTTTGATGGATTTACAGAATTAAGTGCAGAATCCATAGAATCCTCAGAAAATCGGTGTTCTTTGGAAGTGCTGTTTTCCTCTATAGGCAATGTTTCTGCTACACAAAAAGCAAGCATCAATATGTTCAAAGTGATGCACATTACACCTTTGTTACTTAAGGCCTTGCTACGTTCTCTTGGAGGCACTGACAGATTGTAATCCTGTTAACATGTCTCCCGTGAGACAATCATTGACACTAAATGTTTGTCCCTTTTCCTCAACCAATCATCAAGCTCTTATTCTATTTTAAAATGTTGTTTTTGTAGCAAAATATTTAATATGTCAAGTTGGAGACATTATTCCATTAAACCATTTCAGTTGTACTTATTGAATGCTATGAGCAGGGAAATGACAGAAATTTTTTTTTTATAACATTGTCTGCTGTTAATATTGATACTTCAAATAATTTTAGTCAAGAATTTTCATTGTTTTTTAAACATCATTAAAAAGTTAACCATTAATATTATGTGGCATCTATTTTGCAAGATATTTTTAATACAAACAAGAAAGTCATGTTAAGTAAAAATTGTTTAATAAGTTCTAAACAGCAGAGGGAGTTACTAACTTCATAAAGAAAAACATGTGGACTTTTTCTATTATCTATTATTCTATCTAATTATTATCTATGGACTCCAACAGGTTCAGACAGAGGTATGTACCATTATTAAAAGGGAAGAGGTCTCAGGCAAAGCCACACAAGGCTGTGAGTGCCTGGCACACTAACGTAACATGTTTTTGATCACCCTGCTTAATCTACACGCAGCTTTTTGCATAGGGCAGGGTTTCAGGGTCTCTAACTGAAGACTCTGGAAAGTTAAAGGTAAATTACTGAACTCATGGAGCAAGTAAAAAAAAAAGTCTCAGGTAGGGAGTATAACAATATTTTAATTCTCATGCCTTTTAAGCTAATTGATACCCTACAAAAGACAAACAACATCCACTCAGAAGATTTGTGAACTTTTAAAATCTGTCAATACGGATTATTCTAAGGCACATGAGTGGAGTTCAGCACGTCCCTTCCCCTGGCCTGTGAGACAGAAGCCAGGTTTGCTCGATTACTGAAAATTCCACTCCCATTCAGCCCAATTCAGGTCTGTTTGAGAGAAGCATGCTACGTGAGGAAAAAAACCCAAAACAAATCAACAGGAACACCACTCCATTCTCTAGCAATCATAGATATTCCCCTCCGTTTGCATCAGGCCAATATCTAGCATGAGAAAGAAGTTGGAAGCATGATGTACAAATCTGTATGAAACAAATGCTGCTTTGGCAGGAGAGTTAAAAGCTGGAAAAATATAGTTAACAGGTTCACAGAAGTGTAAGCCCCACACTATCATCTTGAAAATAACTCTACTGAAGTTATAAAACATATGCTAGTGAGCCAGCATATTCTTTGGAATAAGAGCTGGTATGCTCTGCAAAACAAGTTCCTGAAATAAGCTTTTTACTACCCTTCTTATATGAAAACTTCCAGGAATTTCTTGGGCAAATGCCTAATTAAAACCAAAGGAAGCGTATTTTCCTAAAAAACCCAGTCAGCTTCTCAAGCACACTTTCAACTTGCTTCATGAGGTCTCAGGTTCTCAGTCTGGATCCTGTTTAAAGTGTAGTACAGTGAAGAGCCGTTATGTGTATTTTGACCTTCAAAGAGCATAACCCTGAAAGGGAATTAAAGGCTCTCAGAGAGCCAGCTCCATACTTAGTGAATTCAGTAAGGCAAGACCATAGAATCACAGAATGGAACCACAGAATTGTTTCTGCTGGAAAAAGCCACGATGACCATTGTTAACTCAGTACCAGTGTGTTCACCACTGAGCCACATCTACATGTCTTTTAAATACCCCCAGGGATGGTGACTCAACCCTGGGCAGACTGTTCCAATGCTTGACAAGCCTTTTGTGAAGAAGTTTTTCCTATCCAATTTGAACTTCTCCATGTGCAACTTGAGGCCATTTCCTCTTGTCCTGTCGCTTGGGAGAAGCGTTAGATGGGAGAAGATATGAATTCCCATGTCCCAATAACTTCCTTTCACATAACTGTAGAGCACAATAAGGTGAAAGAGGTGAGCACTCACACCAGCTCCCTCAGTACTCCTGGGTAGATTCTATACGGTCCCAGAGACTTGTGCATGTCTTTAGTGCTGACCATTTTCCCTTGGACTGGGGGGACTTCAGTCTGCTTCCCATCCCTATCTTCCAGTTCAGGATGCTGGGTACAGAGAACAACTGATCTTAGTACTAAAGACAGAGGAAAAGGAGGAATGAAGTACTTCAAACACCCTTCCTCAAACTTTGTCACTTTGTTCCCCTCCACATCCAACAAAGGCTTGAGATTCTCCTTAGCCCTCTCCCGACTGCTGAGAAAAATGAGACAAAAACTTTCTTGCCTTTTATGGCAGTAGACAGATTAAGTTCTATTTGGGCTTTAACCTTGCTAATTTTCACCCTAAATAACCTAATCCTTGTAGTCCTTCTGATTTTCCAGCCCCTTCTTCCAAAGGTCCTTTTTTTTCCTGAGTTCTAGCCAAACCTTTCTGTTCAACCAGGACAGTCTTCTGTGCAAGCTTGTCTTTCAGCATGTGAGGACAGCCTGCTCCTGGTATCTATATGTCCTGCATTCCTGGACTTCTTTATCTGCAAGGTGATGTAACATCTTTTACAAAATTTGATAGTCATGGAATAAAGAAGCTTTTATGGATACAAGTCCTTCTCCTTCATATAAATAACTTTCAAAATAACCACTGCAAAACCTTCTAGTTTGTCAGACCTGAATCACAAAAGCCAAGAAGAAGCTACTGACGTTTTCAAAGAAAACAAACAAGAAAATAAAAGCCTTTATATTTCTCAGAAGTACTTACAGCAACTTACCAAGATTAAAAACAAAAGGTATCATTGCACAGAATCTCAGAGAGACTTTTAAGAGATTAAGTCAATAATGCACACTATAAAATTTAAAAGTAGCCAACCAAGGGAAAATTAGAGCTGCAGAGAATAAAACCACATCTCAGTCCAAGGCCAAAATGCAGAGGTGATACCTTAAACTGTTACAGCAAAGCTGAATATAGGAGCATAAGGTTTAATTGACTGAACCTGTAGATTCAGACTTCAGAAGTCTTGAAAGGTAGGATGAAACAATGGAGACAACACTCCCCAGCAGAGAGTTTCAGCTGGAGTATTCAAGTATGTATCAGCCAACACCATGTAAAATATTAAGAAAAAACATTTTTTAAGTTTTTATAGTACACTAGCATGAATCCAAATATAGGTTGTTTATTTGGGTTTTTTAAATAATTGGTTTACATTATCTTTGTCAAGGTATCAGTAGAAAAAAGATACTAAAAACTGCAAAAAGAACTTAATTGTATTCATTCCAATTATATCCCAGATTTCTCTCTGATGTTATATATGCTGAAGCAAATACTAGGTTTGGGAAAGATCAACTGCTTTTTTTCTCCAAGATATCAGTATTTGAATTTATCTTACTGTAAATTCTAAACTCATATACACAAGGTAGAAAAGCTGGCACATTTCCCATCGTTTTTCAGGGACGGCTTTCTGTTCAGTAGCTATAGTATTCAATCCACTTTCTATCCATCCATCCATTTAGCTTCTCTACAAAAAAAAATGCAGCAAAATTGGCTTCTAGCAAATGGAGCATTGCAATCCATGGAGTGACAAAGTTCGCCTACCTCAGCATTTTGAGCAGCTGTGAATAACAGAGGTATGGAAAGAGATGGGAGGTTCCACTGCAGAATGCCTGACCTCTGGGTAGATTAATGAAAGGCCAGTAAGAGGCCTTAAGTTTCAAATGCAGGGATGACAGCAGACTGTTTAGGCACTGAAGCCTTAGCAGGAACTGGATGTTTTGTTTTCTTGAGGCTCTTCTGGGAATTAGAAGCCAGTTGTTCTGTCTCATACATAACAAAATGATGTAATTGGACAACAGAGTAGGAACACTCTGTTTTCAGGGAAAGGGAGTCTGAGTTACTCCTCCTCCTTTATCTTTCATAACTTTAAGAAGAAACTGTTAGTGAGCAAGAAAGGCAGCAAAATCTGCAAAGCATATCCCTGAGCAGATCAGAAGGAAAACGAGCTGTTTGAAAGACTGTTTCCCACAATTACTCCATTTTGCCTTCAAATGATATTTCAAAACAACTATTTTAAGACAACTGTGTCTCAATGGAACCAGAACTTTTTGGGGGCAGATCTTTCTTGTTAACCAACCCATGACTGACCGCTACAAAATTGCCTCCAGATTTTCAGCAGAGGACATTGCCCTAATGGGAAACACACAATGCTAGAGAACACTTTGCCTGTTAAAATGCACAGAGTACAAATTCAAACCTCTGAAACCATGGAAAAACACTTATTTTAATTATTTTTTATTCAAGTAACTGTGTTTTACAATGAACTACTGATCTTAAAATGTATTTTAAAGGGTACACTGACTCCATCTGTAAAAGATCTACTAGGAAACAAGGAATAAAAAACAGTATGTGCACTCATGTTTACTTCAGTAAGATTACTTACAAGATACTGCAGATTTACTTAAACATTTGTTTTGCTCAAAATGAAACAACTTAATTTGAGTGTTATTAAGTGCTCCACACTTATTAAGTTAGTACCAGAAATATAACTTAGATGTACAGTATATCTCTGGAATTAAACCAGAGCTTCTTTTGTGAACAAACAGAATTCAATAATCAATGCAAAACTGTGTATAATAACAGCTACAGGAAATATAAAGATGTGAATATGTTACATATACACAAAATAATAAGATGTATAATTTTAAATAAGCTACCATTTGGAACATATTAATTTTACATCCTTTTCTGCTTTAACTGTAGTCTTATGGCTTTTTAATATGCACAGAAGAGATATCCTGCCCCCACTCATGGTAATAGATACAAAATAATTTCAAGATCGCAAACAAAAAGAAAGAAAAAAGGAGGAAAAATAATGAATCCTCATTATACTTCAAAAAAGCCTTTGGAAATGATGCGCAAATGTCTTGCTGCAAGAGGAAGTATGTATCAGATGGGGTAAGTCAGTATCATCAACTTACAGGTCTTCACCAGTGAAGTAGCAAATACTGAACCATTCTGCTGTGTCTCTCTCAGTGACATTTAAATCTAGATGCTTTCTTCATATCTGAGGTAGACTAAGACTAGACACAGTTACTGCAGCTTAGCTGCAGCACAGGAGAAACTGTTATTGTATCTGTGAACTACACCAACCTAAGAGCAAGCTGCCACAGGGAGGCCACAGCGCTCCCCTGGCCATGGCTGCCTTCCACTCAACCCTTCCTTGTGCTCTTCTAAGTCCACAACGAGTCACTCCAGAGAAGTAAAATATGACTCTTCACCAGAATGTCTTCTGTGCTTTTGCTCACTGCTTCAACTCACTACCCAGCCAGGGAAAGGAGCAGGGACAAGGAGGCAAGGAAGCAGCACAACTGCCACTGGCAACTAGCCATAAACTCAGGTGAATTGTATCATGAAGCTGCATACTACCTCACTTAATGAACTTAGCCTAGAGTTAAGAGTTGCTTCCAAGGCAATTGGTTTTCTGCTCAGTAGCCCCACATGAAGCAGGAGGCTTCATCTGTAACCTGTGTGTCTGAGCCCCTTCACAGAAAAGGCTGCAGGTTTAGGAGAAGCACTGCTGGAACTTGCAGTTCTTAAGTGCAAAATCTGTGCCAATGATCAATAATTAACATGCTTCCACCCTGACCTGTCAAAGGTTAGAGTCAAACCAGACATATATGCTGCACTCAGTCCTTTTCAACTGGAAATACTGAAACCATAAATAATCCTCATATATAATTCTGACATAATGTAATTACCTTCAGATGGATGAGCATCGTTTCTGGGAAGCTTAGGGGAAAGAGGAGCAGTGTATGGTGGAGAGTCCTGAGGGTATCGTTTAGCACTCCTGTTTTCAGGTATTTCTTCTTTGGCTGTGAAGAGGAAAAGTCACTACCTATTATTCTAGCTCATGGGCTTATAAAGCTGCTCATGGGGCAAGTCCAGAGACAGAAGCAAAGACAGACATCAGCCATTCACCAGGCTAGAGTTCCACTTCCTGTTTCACACAGACTCAGTCACTTCAAAACAAAACTTCAAACTGAATTACCTTGACCCTGTCTACTTTCCTGAACAGTTAAAACTAAAAACTTTCATATGAAAGATAGAATTATAAACATAATTTCTCCACTGGAAGGAGGAAAAAGAATTTTCTACAGCAGCACCTGAAACACAGACTCAGCTATCAAACAGCTCGGAGGAAACTTCATTCCCAATACAAATCTTGTGAAATTGTCTTGACAACACGGCTATCTCAGCTGTGACTTTTGGCTTCAGCTGGGACTACACCAGGTCCTGCAAACAATCTGTTGGGACATCTTGGGCAAGTAATTTCATCTCCCCTTCACTCTATGTTCCTGGTGCAGCAAACGTATTAGACTATCACAGAATTTCACAAGCAGCCAATTTCACAAGCTTTTCTTCTAGATGACTGGACTGTACATAGTACAATGTAAAATTTTTCAAGCCACCCCTAAGTAAGGTGAAAAGAGAAAGAAAAGACTTTGTACTTGTGTTGGAAGGGTTAGACTGAATTCCCTTTCAGGGCAAGTGCCTTCTCACAGACAGAAAGCATCTTTTTGCTAAGTTTATTTTATGAGCTGAACATAAATTTAACAAATGAAATGTGAAGTTTTGAGCTTGTCTTTTTAGCAGTATCAAGTGGTAAAGTACATATGTTTTCTGGCTTGCCTACAAGGAGAAGTTTGCTGAACAAAATTATTTCTGCACATGTGGTATGACCTATCCATTACTGTCAAAGCACTTCTACACTGGAACCAATTCACTAAGAACTGAAGTGTATTAATTTCAAGCAATTCATGTCACAAACTAAAAAGTCACATTTCATAAAGTCCCCACATTTCTCAAAAATATCAGCACTTGAAAATAACAAATGATTAACAGTACCTGGCTTATTCCTATCGTACTCCATGGGACTATGTGCACATCCCATGTAAGGGCTGAAAGGCTGGCTACTGAAGAGATTATCGCACTGCAGACTGTGGCAGAGTTTCTCCAAGAAGCGTAGGACAAACGATGCACTGTTTACAGAAGGAAGATTGATGGCATGCTTTTCCCCATCAAAGGAAGCTGTGAATAAGCAGATTATGTCAAACACCCCCCAAGCATCATGAAGCATAGTAAAATACCATCGTTAACTTAAAGGAGAAGACATCCAGACTTGATTTAAACCATGCAAGACATGAGAGGTGTAAACAATCATTCTGATAGTTTAAAAAATTTATATCCAAAGGACCAATTTCATCATCCACTGGATCCATGTTAGTTTAAATTTGCTCTATGGGAACTTAGTTTAATAAAATAATTTTGGATTCACACCAGCATAACAAAACTTACAACTACTCCCTCACCACCAAAACTTTATGTGGAATTTCCATCACTTATAAAGCTCTTTACCAACTATTTGCAGGAGACAGCACAAGAAAGACCCTTTACAATAAGGAGACAGCACAAGAAAGACCCTTTACAATACATGCTGAAAAAAATCCCCCAAAATCCTCAAAAAAAAAAATCAACAAAAAGGCCAAACACTTCTTAAAAAACAAAAACAAAACACCAAAAACAAAAACCCAAAACGAAACAAAAATAACCCCCAAAAAACAAAAGAAAAAACCAAGCATGAAAAATAACCCCCAAAAAACAAAAGAAAAAACCAAGCATGAATAAATGAAACTAATAATTTTAGTATTTTTTTTTCTCAGTTTCTAGCTGAATGGAGAATACTTGTGGTAAGGTGCTGGCATCCACTACCACTGAAATTCTGACTCAGAAACTGTTTTGCCATTTGGTATTTTATCACTAGAGAAATCTGTCCTGCTGTCAACACTGCAGTGGTCAAGCTCTCATTTATTTCAACAGGAGTTAGGTGGCAGAGATACCACAGCAGCCACAAATGGATCTGTTGTCTTTTAAACTGAGTGATTACAAAGAGCCTGGACATGTGCTTATGTCTTTTCCTTGTTGACCTCTTTTCTTGCCTCAAACAGTGTGGCAGCTGAGGATATTTTACTTTTTTGTGAAAATTAGTAAGGTTTGGAAAAGACTCAGTACTACAGATACATGGATAAATAACCATTACATCAGCTGAAACTTTTAGTTACTTGTGATTAGGAATACTTCAGAACAAAGCAGGAACAAACTTGTAATTTAAGCTTAGGGCTGAAAAGAAGTGGCATAAACACCAGGTTTATGAATCAATTTGTCTTTTTGGTTTTCAGCCTGTCATGCAGCTTTCTGTTGTTAACATAAGTTTCGAAATGATAAGCAGAGCTTTAAAGGATCACATTTTGTTGGTAGCAGATGCTTTAAAAAAAAGAAAAAGAAAAAAGAAAAAAAGCTAGAAATGACAAGAAAGCCTTTATTCACAGATCTGAATTAAGGAACATTTCCATATTGTGTTACAAAAGAGACAGATAATATACACAAAACCAAAGAAAATGCCTAAGTCTAGCATATTTTAGGCTTCCTTAGAAAATCTGAAGTGTCAATTACTTAAACTGTTGATGTAAAGAAGCTTCTGATTAGAGTTAATCTGAGTTAACCAGCCAGCATCAACAACTATGTGCTGCCTCTCCCATCTGCTTTCATGACAGACTGACCAGCACAAGTGCTTGAAGTTTAAGAGTCAGTACTACAGGACCGAAGTGTTTCCAAGGCCTATTAGGTTTTTTCCAGGCTCCAATGTCCAAATGAAATGCTAATGACTAACAGTCCCACATGTGGCTCAGACACAAAGCCCTCTACATCCTGTTTGGGGAAGAGGTCTCCAAAGGCAAATTTTTGTTTGGAACTCAACCAGTTCTGGAGAGCAAATGGGCTGTGAGAACATAGCTTGACCTTACGACAAATTTACTGCAAGGTAGTAGTCAGCTACAGCAGAAGTTTAAAATGCTCTAGAATAGCCTTATGGATCTTCCTATATGGCCTTTGGGGAAATGACATAGTCTATACCCCTTAACTTCCTGTTTTGAAAAAAACATTGAAAAGAGCAATGTTACTCAAGAGTTGTCAGGAGGATAAAACAAGAAACAGCTGAGGTGCTGTGACTGCCCCAGTGAAATATTCCATTATAAAAATCCACAAATAAAGATTCTGTGCAAATACAGCTCCCCTGGACTCTTAAGACCTGAGGGCAACCATACAAACTCCAACCAAGGGTGTCCAAACAGATCCACAGGCTCAACTGTCTATGCTGCTTGAGAAAAACATAAGCATCTTACTTCACTGATAAATGTCAGGGGTAAAAATAAAAAGGAGTACCTCTGAGGTGCAGTAACTTCAATTTTAATGACATATAAACAAGGAACTGGAGCTTGCATGTGCAACCCCAGCCCTCAGGATGAATACTCATTTCTTCACCTTCCATTCTTTAAGTATGTTTTAGATACTGGGTTCAAGCTGGGAGAAAGACTGAGAATGAAACAATCGGAGAAATGTGTTTTTCTGATAGTGACGGAACTCATCCAAGAGTCTGATTTTAATTCTCTGCTTGAAAAAATTTATCTAAGCCTCAATCTATTTCATCCCACCAAATACCAAAGTGTCTGTGCTACAAAGAGAAAAAAGGGGCTGACACCACCACCATTAGTGGGCTTGCTAATCAAGCCTTTAATTTCCTTTCTGTTTCACTGCCTGAGTTGAAAGCTTATGCATTAAGCAAAAATAAAATAGTTTGTGTCTTTGTTTGAGAAAGAAAAGATGGAAAAATCCTAAATTTAATTTTATTGAAAACAATTCTTTCCTTTGGCAGCTCAACCAAAAGAACCCACTAATTATTCCATGTATTCTAGCAAGATTATTTTATCCATGTCCTCATCAGCACACAGTTTCCGCCTACGGCAGGTATAATACTTTCTATAAAAGCATCAGTTCACAAAAGACTTAGATTTCTTTGCTTATTCTTTGCCACAACATTTTTTTTTTCTTGACAGTCTGAAAAAAAAACCCCAAACAAATCCTGAACAACAAGCCACCCTCCAAATCCACTTTAAAACAAAAAAGCTACAACAGTAGTTCCTTATTTTATTCTACTATTGCTTCCCTCTTCTTCCTTACTATTCATGTGCACAGCTACACGTAATGTGCTACATTCATCTAAGTCATATTTTATGCTTCACAAAATTTATCACACATAAATTTTTGATAAAATGAGAGGAGTGTTTGCTCAGCCACTTCTCAGCTACCTGTTTGACAAGCCAAGGAGAAGCAAGAGCTCAAGTACACTAGAAACCCACCGGGGCCTTGTGGCTCACTATCAGCCAGACCAGGACTCTGCTTCCGGAGCAGTCCACATCACCAGGTTACTCCAATCAAGAATACAGGCCTTGGGGTGAAGCCAGGTGCACAGCAGTAAATCCTTTTTGTACAGAATTTTTGAATGCAAACAAGCCACAACTACATAAGGAATCTGAGATTCCTCTCTCCTGTCTGAAATTATTATTTTCAATTATTCAGTCACAGCCCAGAGATACCACTGACCTGTGATTTAGCCCCTCATGATAAACAATCACAAATAGCATACTGGCAATGAATATCTCAGAGCATTTTGCTCTAGAAAATTGACTTGTCTGAAATAGGTACAGCAAGGTATTAATAATATAACAGAAGTTCATATAAATTGAAAAAATAAAGCAGTACCAGTTTCAAAACCACATATATACAATACCATTAAACCTGTACTGCACAGAAGAGAAACAGCATCCATTTTGAGCACAAACTCAGGGAGATGCCTATGCAAGGCTCACTGTAGCTCTGCCAGACACGGGTTGGGGTGCTGCTCTTTAAATACAGTTAGATAGCAGCATCTTTTTGAGTACTTAACTGAACCTCTATTCCACTAATCATCTTTCACATCTGGTGTTAATGTAAAGAGATTAAAGTAATTCCAAATCTTTTACTGCCACTGATGGAATTATTTATTGATGTGCTGTTATACATAGAAGATTTCCTAGCCCAGATGGAAAAATTGTCAAGCAGCAGCTATTCAGATAGAGACAGAGAGATAATTTTATCTTCAGGCCTGCCATCAATATGTAATAGAAATAAATCTATTCCATAATAGGTGACATAGGTGGATGAAGAATGACCTAAGATGCTGCTGCAGTTCTGGGGAATGGGGTAAGGGAAGCAGCAGCAATTTTAACATGTGGAATCACTTGCCTGGAAGCTAAACAGATTAGTTTGAGATTTGTCACCCACTTGGTTAATGCTTTAAGAACACAAACACCATGCATGGATAAGATTATATGAATGGCTTGAACTAATAAAGATGATTATTTCACTTGTAGTGAGTTTACTTGACAAATGTTTGGCTACAGATGCTAAATAAGCTACACAAGCTCTACTTAGAGTAAGAAACTATTATTCTGCATTTTTAATTTAAACACTGCTATTGCTATATTTTATTTAGATTTAAATAACTGTTCAAATCACTTTGAACTCAGAGTAAGATAAATCATACATCAATGTTCACACCTGTGTTTACACAGCTATAAAAGTTATATAAATTAATTGCAGCTACTTCAGTTCTTCTGCCCTATCTCTAGTTCAACAAGTAAAGAAACAAAAGAAACAGAGCACCTTCACATACCAGTTATCATTTCCCCTCCATGATGACCAGATTTCAGAAATCCAAAGACTGTTTTGGCTTGATAGGCACAATCCACACAAGCCTGTACAGCCTGCTGAAGTACCACATTGACAGGACCTGGTCCAAAATGGTCTGGAAGCTGCTGAACTTTCTTCTTATCCAGGTGAGGCCCAGAATTTCCATGTTTGTTCACATAAACACACACTGAAAAGGTATAAGCCATATTTACTGCCAAGGAACCAAGATATGTTTCCAAGTCAGAAGTGCAAATTGTCATTTTAGTTTTACTCTTGCAGAAAGTTATACTAGTCAACTCAAGAAGCTGAGCATGCACACATACTTTCAGAGCATGCAGAAACTGCTCTTCTACCAAGGTCCTCCTGACTGAATCCTAAACTCACTTTTTTTTCTTGCTTTCTGAAGCCCCCTTCTACCTCACTAATGTAACAAAGCTGACATGATCTGTGCTTGTGTTCTGATTAATCTCTGCTTATACACTAACTCCAGTAAAGTACAAATTACTGGTAGGTACTCCAAACTACCAAGTCAAAATTCTACAAAGTAGGCCTTACCAAGCTACTGCCTAAATTTTTTCCTATTTGAGAAGCTGCAACAAAGAGAATTCTGTGTTATATACCTGCCACTGCTGCTCATTCTGAAGCAGCCGTATGGCACTAACATATACATCACACAGAGCGGCTACCAAAGGCCTGTAGCTTCAAAAGCCCTGAACCACTCACAGGATTTCCACACCACAATGTGGCCATGTCTGCTAAATAAACACTTTACAAACACTGTAAGGTGGTTTAAAGTGTAGCACAAAACAAACATATAGGATTTTTGTAACTACTTTTTAAAGAGACAATGTGAAACTGTCTTCCAAAACAACTGCCAAGGCAAAAGAATGTGGGAAACATGAAAATGACGATTTTTTTTTTTTTCTTGTTAATCCTGGCTGCCACATGACCAAGAATGCACCCAAAGACGTTATTACAGCTTAATGAAAAAATGTGCCTCTGTGGTGACTGAGAAATCTAAACATTCTATTACACAAAAGACTGACGTATTTTCTGAACTGTAGCTTAATTTCAGATAAAAACCCTGAGCTTTTAAAAATGAAGTATTTCTACAAGAGTTTTAATGCTGCTATAATGTCTTTGTACATATCTGTTTACTCTCTGATGTCTGAAAATTGAAGGAAATCTATTTGTACAAATAATCAAAGCTACAAATCAACAATAATAGTATGGCATTTTCTCTCTGGGCTCAACAACAACTTCCTTGCAAAAGGTTTATTTTCCTAGGAAAAAGTACGTGTTTTCCCCTCATCCATGACTGAAATCTGGTGTAAGAAGAGCCTGACAACTTCTATAAACAGATTTTAAATGTTAAGAAAGCGCCCCGAGCAAAATTATCATGATTTATGGAGATTTTAGAAAGTTCTGAGATTTCAGCTGACAATATATGAATTGCTTCACTATAGGGTTACCAGTTCATCAATGGGTGAGTTCATTTACTAGCTTATTTCTTTTCTGTCAATCCTTTTCAAAACACATTTCATTATATTTAGAGGCAAAAAAAAAAATTAAAAAGCAACCATGAGGAAAGAGGAATGTATTCCTCCTGGTTGCCATTACTGTGTTTTAACAGAGTTGTTTCTTTTCATGTAAGGCTATATAGAGATAAAATCTCCATTTTGTTACATTACAGTACAGCTTGCATGGGATCAGAATATTTTATGTGCTTTTAGCTACATTTATTCCCATTTCATACACTAAGGAGTGGGACAGACATGAATGAACTGTACAGTTTCCTTCTTCACACAGGAACAAACTGCCAGGTCTAGCAGATCTATCAAAAGTCCCTGTGCCCAAGTACTTATTGCTATAATGTGGGCATCAAGATACTAGCTCTGAAAAGTAACACTGGCTCCTACAAATATCTTTAAAAAACAAGGCAGGTGGATAATGATTTACAGTAATAAGTTTGCAGCACATTCTTCATAAAATTAAACTGCGTGACTGGGAGCCATCTCACATATTTTTTTTCCTTTGTCTTTTACCTGTGGATATAACTGCTGCAGTTGCACCAGACAAACTGATTCCATCTTTAAGTATCTGGGTAGTGCCATTTTCCCCCTCCGGAGATGACTGAGAAGGAGATGTAGGAGTCACTTGTTCTGGCAAGATTTTTTTCTGTTAAGAGAAAAAAAAAACCCAGAGTCAAAATGTTTAATGTTTTTTAAGGAGTCTGCACAACCTTTCTGCTATCAGTTACCATCTTAATGAATGTGTGTGGTTCCTTACTAGAAAAGTACCACACACAGCAGAGAAGGGAAAGTTCAGGAAAGGAAGACCAGAAACTGTCAATTTGCAATTACAGCTACTTTAGTAATGCAGGAGACAACAAATGCCTTAGAAATGAACCCATCTTTACCTAAAAAATGGGAAAATAAACAGCTTTATATACTAATTCATGACTCTTCTAAAAATCTTACGAAGAGGTATTCTGGGGTTTTTTCCTGCCCATGCCCTTTCAGCTGGGTTTATCACAGCTCAAGTAAGTTAGTTGGGCTGTGTATGTATTGCCATAAAAAACCTAAGTCACATCTTGGTGTCAACATTACAGTGCATCTGTATCTTCCCTCAGCTTGTTTCAAAGGGGTTGAAATTCTCACTTCCAGGAGTTTTCAGGTGCTTCACACAAGATATCAAATAAGCCTGTAGTTACAATCCAGTCATGCTGGTTGCCAAAACCTTTTCCTTTCCCAAAGCAAACTTATTTGCAGCTTATCATACGACAGATAACCAGAGTTCAGAGCACAGTGGTTTAGAGATTGGTCCATGTGCATTACCTTCTCCACATAAGGAAAAGAGAATTTTGTTGTAATTTGGTTTGGGCTGCAATTTAGAAAAGAGATGTGCACTTGGAAAACATTTCACAGAATCACAGAATATGCTGAGCTGGAAGGGACCCAAAAGGATCATTGAGTCCAACTCCTGGCCCTGTACAGGACACCCCTAAGAGTCACACCAGGTTCCTGAGAGTGGGAAAACACTTCTCAAGTTCAGTCAGACTTAGTGCTGCAACCACTTCCCTGGGGAACCTGTTCCAGTGCCCAATCACCATCTGGGTGAAGAACCTTCTCCTGACATCCAACCTAAACCTTCTCTGGCAGAGCTGCCATTCCCTTGGGCTCTTTCACTGGTCTCCAGAGAAGAGATCAGTGACATGTTTTGACATACTATGAAAATACATTGAAATAAAAGAAATAATAAATCAGAGTTCAGCACTTCACCACTTATTCTTGCATGAGAACAGATTACATTTTGACTCTCTTACCTAGCAAAAATTAGGAATGTAAGAGATTACCCAAGGTCTTCACACTGCTGAATGCAGCAGAGACTTGTGGTCATGTGGTAAGGATTCACCATTAAAACAGAAATAAATAATAATAAATAATAATAAATAAATAATAGTGAAGTAAAAATTCTGTTGATTTTCCAAGAAAGGCTAAGCCCTCTACCATTTAGTAGTATTTATCCTTTACACTTTTAGAATCAGCCTATTTTCTAAGTAATGTATTGAAAACCATGTAGAAAGCAATCAGAATATATACCTTCCTAAAAGAAGCAGTGCTTTACTTCTTCACACCTAGAAAGAATAAATTAACTTCCCTCTGAAATTCAGGGCACTTTAAAGAAAAATTCTGTGCCACTTGCAGTTTGGAGAAGATAAGCTAGAGAAAGTACTTGACAATACGGCACTGGGTGGGATCACCATGAACATAAGGAATAGACTGCCAAGACTTGGCACTGCATTGTGAATGAGATGAGGTGGCACAGGTGGCACAGAACCAAGGAGTGATGTATCACTTGTCAGGAACTGACCATTTATCTTAACACTGGATGATAGAAAGGTCTCCATTCTTAATACAGAGGAAAAGAATGTACTTGGGAAGATTGAGGTTTTGATCTGAAGTCCAGTGTTCCTGAAGGCCCCCTGTAGGAGGGATTTTTGCAGGGGAGACAGTTTTCTTTTACCACACTACCACTAAAAATGGGTGGTTGAATTGAGGGAAAAGATGAGAAAATGGGGAAAAATATAGCCATAAAAACAAAATACAAACACTAAACTAAGAGGAACCATCCACTCTCCACACCAATGCACACGTGTGGTGAGACTAGCTGGCTGTTTCCTACCTTCTCCCTCGGAAGGTAATATAGCACACGATGCTTCCTCAGCTGAGGCTCTCATTTTGCAACTCCCCAGTGACAGGTAGCCAGCTGCGAGCCCAGAGCCATGTTGTTCCATGGGAAAGGCCACAGCCCCAGCAGGAGTGGGCACAGTGGCTTGGTCTGGCCTCTGCCAGCTGGGAGGGCACACCAGCTCTCTCTGCCTGCAGAGAGCAGGGCTCACAGCTTGTTCCATCAGGACAACTTCAGCAGCTCCACCATCATGCTTAAAAACTCTTTCTGTGGGGCTGAATTAACAGCTGGTACCCACACTCAGACCAAGGGGTTTCCTCAAGAAATTCTGAAAGGAATTCTTTGCACTGTTATGTAAAGTGAACTTTTAAAATTATAATGAAAGAGATATACACAGGTTTCATCTTTATTATAAGAGGGTAGAAACATATAGTGCGAGCTGTGAGAAACAAATGAAAAAAAAAATCCAACATGCATCTCATACTTACAATGCTTAGAAAAATTTTAAATAAAGGATGAAAATGATGCAACATCTCAACATTTCTAGCTGTATAATAATAGTTAATATCTGCAAAATGATAAAACTGCAGCATAACAAACCTAAAGGGGCAAAGAAATTCAAACAACTCTGCAGAGAGACAGGCCGATACCAATGTCCCTAAATACACTAAATAGCTAGTTCACACTTAAAACACAACCATTTAGTTCAGCATCTGGAGGTTTGTTTTTTTTTGCAGCAGTCTAGTGGGGTGCATGGAAGAATAAAGGCCCTTTCAAGCCTCTAGGCACATACCACTTGCATATTGCATACATACAGTGAGGTGTACAGGCTGTATGGCTGCACTTCATGTCAGACACACCCTGTCTGCACAACTCCCACAAAGCCCCACTTCCTCTCTTTACCCTTATGCTAACAGGTGTAATAGTCCAAAGAAAAGTTTGCACATATGTATAACATCCTGGCAATTTAACCACTTACCAAAGCAGTAACAGCCTTCTGTGAATTCTCAAAAGGAGCTAATTTTTCAAGTTTTTAATGCTAAAGTTAGCGAAGTAAAAAATCCCAAATTAGATATACCAAACCTAGATTTTGCAAAACCTAATTCTCCGTTGCTTGGTCCCACAGAGGAAATCAGGAGCACATAGAGGTACCTCAGATTTGCTGCCTCAGGAGAGGGAATGTCAGCACTAACACCCACTCCACAAAGAGTGCCCTGAAGCCCTCATGTGTCAAATGCTCCAAGCAGACACTTTCAGACACCCAGAGCCCAGAAGCCTCTTCTAACAGCAAGGTGCCTCCAACTGCTGTTTCAAAACATAAAGCCTCTCAATTTCTTTTTAATGAGAGCTAGAGGACAAAATTCTTACATGCAAGTAATTCTTACGTGCATGTGGCACAACCTGCCACACCTGAATGTTAAGATATGACAGTCCTGTATTCAATGCTGTCCTTTAAAGCCCTGTTCAGACTTATGAAGAACACCCCACCCACCAGCTAAACCTCAATAGGAGCACCTTTCTCCTCTTTAATCTCTGTTGCTGTGCATTTTTACACACCAAGTAAGAGAGAAACAAAACTGGAGACCAATTTCTGTTTGTGGAATTTCCAATCAGTAGCCTAGCAGTTTGGATGTCTGACTGCAAGGGGTAGGCAGCAGGGAAGAGTACTCAGCTTTCAATTTGTGGTCCCCAAAATCATTTTGTATCTTGTGATCATATTTTCAACAAAGTGCTGCTTCCAGTTTCAAACTAGAGCTTTTGGCTATGTTCTAATAATAATATTGCTTCATTAGCATTTCACATTGATCAGCATGATCACTGGAAGGGAGAATCCCCACCTTGCCATCACTCCACCTCTTCCCACATATAATTAGGAATAGACCCCACAGCCCACACTGATACTGACTGCAGGAGAAAAGCCCCAAAACTTCTACTTTTTGATTCTTGTGAGGAGGAAAGAGGGATGGACATAAACCTCTGCGCCCAAAAAAAAACCACCAGGAAAAAGCACTGCCCCCCACCTTCTCACTAGTGCTAATGCAAAGCAGGAAGGAGTACAAGAACAGACTCAAAGTGCCTGAGGAAAGATATTGCAGGATTGCTACTCTTCTTGGACAGCCTGTTGTGCATGAGCAAGCCTCAGAAAATAGACTGCACTTCCATGGCAATCCAAATTGCCCAAAGTCTACCCTGCTGTGATCCTATTCTTCCTTGCAGCAGCTGTAGCATTTGTGCTTTTTTGGGGTGGAGCAGACAAAGAAGGAAGTAGGAGGGATGGATGCCATGCTAGCTGTCTACCAGTTGAGCTCCCTGAACTGGCTCACTTGGAGATTGCTCATCCACCAGCGCTGGTGTCAGGGACAGTGGGAAATGGGGTGAGGTGACAGCAGTTCCAATGTGTACCTGAAAAACAGCTCCACCAGAGTTGAAGCTGGAGGCAGCTGCCAACACTCCAGGTCTGACTCAGCTGGGCAGAGAGAAAGGCGTCATGCCTTTCAGACCAGGGCAGAATTAGGCCCACATCAAGAGAAAAAGAAGCTTCCTGCTTCATGCTAGTAGAAGCTCCAGGATTAGGGGGTATCCAAGAGATTCATCTGGCAAATCCCGCTGTATGCTTAAGAAACCTAAATTATGCAATAAAGCCCTCACTATTTTTAATTCTTTGTTTCTAAACCTGAAACAAAACCCAAAAAACAAAAACCGCAAGCTATATATATGGTTCAGTAACAAACTAACCCAAACTGAAAAGCTTAAAGGCTTTCCTGTCTCTCTATTTCAGAACAGCATTTTTCAACACCAATTACTCACCCATAAATTAAACAGTAATCTTGTTTGGGAATAAAATAATCCACAGGAGTTTATACTAAAATATTCCAGAAGAGCTATTCTAAGTTTTTTCTTGTAATCAGTTGCTGAAAACAGTAAAGCCCTGAAGGCTGAAGAGAAGACAGAAAATTAAGTAATAATAATAAAAAAACTCACTACAAAATTTTGCAATATAAAGTAAAGTAGTAGATAAGGACTAACCTTTTTTCCAGGTTTTAAACTTTTTTTCCTTGTTTTAGGATTTTCAGTATGAGAGGTGCTTTTTGTCAGGGGAATATTTTTAGGAGACCTGCCCTTCTTGGGAACTGCAGACTGTCCAGGGGGTTTGCCCCGACCTGGTTTCCTGCCCCGCTGCGCTGGTACTGGAGCAGATTTCTGTGGAGACTGCATTGAACGCCGGGTCACTTTGGAAGGGGAAGATTGGATTTTTGCACTGCTCTTTGTAATGGAAACTGAGGAAAAACAAAAACAAAAGGGAAGGGGGGGAAAACCTCAAAATGAACAATGGAAAGCAACTTTTCTAACAAAGGCTTAAAAAAATAAAAGTGTACTGCACAATTTACATTGTAAAATGAATATACTTTTTACTTTGAACTTAAGTGGTTGGTATGAAACTATAGAACTTCATAGAAGTCAAAGAGAGAACTCTTTGTACCCATTTTTTAGAGGGACTTCCCTAAGAGAAAAACATTCAAATAAAAATTGTGAAAAAAACCCAATAATTAATCCACTCACCTTATAAATGCTTCCCATAATTTAATTATAATATTTATAAAGTGCCATTCATCAAGAAGGCCTTCAAAAATACTTCACAAATTATACAGCCTATAGTACATCCCTTTTCTGCTAAGATTAGTTTCCACAATTACAAGACATCCAAACTACTTCTAGGGAGCTACAAAACAACTTTGAGCAGCAAAGAAAATCATCCCAGTGACAAGGAGAAACTGTTGGAAGGCAAAATCTCTTTAATGACTATTTGTCTGAGATGCTGGTTTAGCAAGTTAAGCTCACATAACCATACCCAGATTTTTCTACCTGGTACCATTTCTAAGAAGGGATTCCAAAAATCAAACACAAAGTATCATTTTTCTTCATTCTTAACACTGATGTGATTTTCTCCCATTAGATGGGTTAATCTCCCATCCCAATCCAATATGGGCTCCCAACAGATATCCCCTTGGATATGTTCCAATATGCACATGATGTGACAGAACTATAATCTGGTGTAAGGCTCTAAGATGTAACCAGATTTCATTAAATTAAAACTTCCTAGTGAACAGGTCTTTTCCACCCAACTCACTCTCTTCTGAAATAATGATTTTTTTTTTAACAATTCCCCTCCCAATGGACAGATCAGAACACCAAAGGATGCTGAACAGAACATTTTTCATTTAGGATATATCCTCAATGAAAAGGTGCACTGCACCATGCTACAGCAGCACCTGTGGCCAACAAAAAGCAAATACTAAGTCCCTGTGGCCAACAAATGCTCCATTTTGTTGGCCCAACCGCTGGTAGGCAGACATAAGCTGCAGGACAGGGAAGTCAAAGATGAAATAGGAAATTTTTTTGACATCAAACCACGACTGTGTTGGTCACCAGTGCCTGATTCAATGCACTAATTCATACTGGAAATGAAGCATAGGAGCTGTTCATTCTGGATTTTTGTGAATTTGGAATCTTCCTTCCCTATAAATATTAGTATGTTGAAGCTTTCTGGTGAGCAAGTAAAATAAAAAACAAAACAAAACGACAACAAAACCCCCAAAAAGATACTTTTGTAGTGAGAGATTGAGAAAATAAAATATTCAAAGATTGAGAAACAGTTTTAATGTCTAGCTCCATGAATTATATTCAACTCAAAGAGTCCAGCACCCTGCTTTACAGCTGTTCCTTTAACTCTGTATCTTTATTCAGGAGTTAACTGTTATTAAGCATTTGCAATAGAAAATGCCACTGTAAGATGAAATACACACTGCATACAGACCTCTTATAAAATACAAGTACTACTGACACACATTTCTAAAGCAGTAGGAGCATTTACATACATTGCTATTTGCCTGATTCAGTTACTAATCTAATATTCCTAAATGGCAGTTCAGAAAAAAATCTCTTTATTATGGCTGGTTGCAATCCTAATACATCAAATGTAGACCTGATATCCCTAGATATCTGAGAAGGACAACCTTCTGGATGTACAAAGTGATCACTTTCCTTTTATTTATGTGTGCCAAAACATATTTTCATATGCAATGACAACTTAAAATAAGATGAACAGAATTTTAACCAAATGCTGGCACAGCATTACTCTTATGTTCCTGAATTGCTGAACAACAACTCACATTAAGCTGTATATCTGGAAAGCAAAATGGTATCAATGGTATGCTGTACAATACAATACTACATATTGCATTATACTTACAGCAATATAAAATGCAGCTATTTTTACTTGTGCCACACAGCTATGCATAGAACAAAACAATCATGACCTTGTAAAGAAACGTTGTTTAACAAATTCTTTGTGCTTCTGCGTATACTGAAACCTACCAAATGCATCTCTATTCTCGCACAGTAAAGACACAGCTGTTGTTAAATACATGCTACTTTCAAGTCAACAGGTTCTAGGAGCACAGGTAAGAGATTTGGACACTGGGCAATCCCTAGTCCCTTCCAGAAGGACATTTACCAGACAAAGAGTAACAATGCAAACAGTTCCAGCCACTTCATGCTGCCCTCTTGAACCACACGCATCAAGCACTATCTTATCTCACCATCTTCCTACCTGTATATGCCAGAGGACCAAATATGAGCAGCATTAACCATTAAGGGGGCAGGGGGAATCAGGTCCCACTTGCTATTTTTCCTTCTGCCTAGGGCTGAAGCTGCTTTTTTTAATAGGCAGGACTGCAACAAAGCCCATGCTGCCTGGGCAGCCTCCCGGAGACAGCAGCAAATGAGGAAGCTGCTATTTGCATTTGTTGATTTAAGAGAGGATGGGGGGAGTACAAGGAGTGGGAGACTGCTAAAGTAATTCCCATATTGTCTGCAGGCTGTATTGACAGTGATCATCAGTCACCTGCTCATACTTCCCTCACCCCGGCCTTCAGAGGGAGACCAAAGGTTACACTGGGTCACAGGATCTGGGGGGAAATGAAAAGACATGCAAAATCAAGCTGCCAACCCACTGCATCTGTAGACAGAGTTATCCCCACTAGGCCACATGTTCCAAAAACTAAGACATTTTAATAGTCTCATGAGAACTTGTTAAAATATAACGATGAAGAGAATAGAAAGGAAAAATGCCAAGCTCTGCTTGCAATTACTGCAGTATTTAGCTGGGATATTTACAACCAAAAAAGCACATTTGCCTTTTGAGGATGCTGCTTTGCATCACAAAGGCCCTTTCATTTGCACAAACAAAATCAAGCATTTGTGTCATGTTGCTCATCTACACAAATATCCACCACTCCAGTTTCAGGAATGGGATGCATTGCATGACTTTCCTTCCCAAATATCTTGTTTAGACAAAACCTGTACAAGCACCCTCAATAACTGAAGATCAGTGGTCACACTACACAGACATACTTTACCGTAGAAATGTTAGCTATTAAGCGCTGCTTTCAAAGTTCATGGAGTTCTAGTTCTGCCATGTTTGTGAGGGCTATGGGTATATAGCCCTTCATGCAATTCACAGCTTTCATACTTCTCTTTCAAAACATTCTTGCTTTTTTCCCCCCAAACGGTTCCATAAGAATCCCAACACCTGCAAACTTTGCATTTAATGTAAGAGAAACTCCAAATCCTGTATCTTGGAATTCACAACCTGGAGACGCATGGCCACAACTCAGTCCCTAGCTGAAACAAGCAGATCCACTGCAATCAGCTGAGCTTATCTGCATGAAAAGGACCCAAAAGGTTACACCTTCCATGAGGGCAAAACTCTGCTTCGTAGAAGCAGAAAAACTGCCCAGACACAGGGAGAACTGAAGAATTTGACCCCAGAATATCATCACCAAGATCTCTTGCCAGAATAAGTAAGATATTTAAGACAACTGTGAAATCTGAAGCTACTGAAACCTCCACTACTTGGGAAGGGGATGGAACAGATGACAGCTGAAAAGCCTGAATTCTCATGCAATTCTAATTAGTAAAATTCCCTCAAATAATCAGCAGTGACAGTTTCACTCCGTGTTTTTATGGAAAGCAGGGGAAAAAAAGGTTCAGATTTGTAATATTTAAACATTATAAATCTCCCATTCAGTTAGTGTCACAGAATAGCAATTACACGACAAGACTTAAAACAGCTAGCTGATGGGAAATTACACAAAACAATATACACAAAGCAGGGGCTCACTGCCATATATTCTGTGAACACAGAATTGCTACCTGAGGTGATGATGCCAATTAGGCCAGTAAAAAAAGCAGTTCACTTTTAAAACCAGATAGAAATTATCCTATTTGTACAATAGTACTGTTCCTATGCCCCCCAATATATAAACTCAATGTTCCTCTGAAAATACAAAAGCTTGGTCCTTCTGTCATGTACAGACAAGAAAAATGAGGCAAAGAGATTTAGCAACTTACCCTAAATCCATGTGAGCATTCCACAGGAGGCATAATGGAAACATATCTCCTGAATTCTAGCCTGGCGTTTTAACTATAACATTAACCTTCTTTAATACAGTCAGTTATTATCATGATAGTTTTGACAACTGGCAAAGGAAGTGGAAAAGATTAGCAATTTTTCAAAACAGCTTACTGCCAAGGATTATAAAAATGTATGTCCTTATGTCTCAATTGAACAACAGAGCCATACAAAAGCTTAACTATCTGTAATACATTCCACCTCTTCCTATATCTGTGTTTGGATTACTTCTGGTTATGAGGTAGCTTTGAGATAGTAATTGTTATGTTGCTATGATACAAAATCAGTTATACGTAATTATTTTGCTATCTAAAAAGCAACATCACACTTGGAAACTTCAATATCCACCTTGGCAAGACATGGGACACTACAGCTTGAAATTTTCTTCTTTCTAGATTTTAGTTTCTGTTACCAATATAATAAAAAAATAAAAAGTCTCTATCTTCTGCGAAAATTTTTAGCTGACCTTACACAGGACTGAAAGGCAAAATGGAGACTGCCAAGCAATGTAAGACAAAAATGGAAGAAAGAAAAAGCATTCCTCTCCCAGTGACTTCCCCAGGGAGCGTTGTAGTACCTTCAGTCCCTGAGTCCTTCACCCCAACCCCATTCTGCCACGTTTTCAAGAGGCAGGCAAGAACCAACCACTGAAAAGACCATTTAAGATCCATCAAAACCCACTGCTAATCAAATTAACACACATCACTTCCAAAAAAAACAACCTTTACAAGCTAAGATGGAGCAGGGGATATGTGGGACTTGGGGGGCTTCAGGCAAAACAAAACAAAGACTCCTGTAGGATCT